AGAACTATCATTTTAATGAGTACCTATTTCGTACCTAGCCACTGTGCTGGTCTTTGCCCAAATTACCACATTGCATCCTTTCTAGGGAGGGAAGTGTTGCGTTATGAACTTGTAACATCAAGATGGAAAGACAAAATGGAGAGTTGCAAAACAGAAAATACAGAGAGCTGGAGAGAAAACACAGAAGGACAGTCAGGTGGTATGCAGGAGAAGGATAATTGATGTCTCCATATGGGTAGCCAGATAGACTCCACCAATGAGAGAAAAGGTAAATTAAGAAGTGACATAGCAGGGCGCCTGGGTGGCTCAGTTGGTTAAGCCACTGCCTTCAGCTCAGGTCATGATCCTGGAGTCCCGGGATCGAGTCCCACATCAGGCTCCCTGCTGAGCCTGCTTCGCCCTCTGACCCTCCCCCCTCTCATGCTCTCTCTATCTCATTCTCTCTCTCAAATAAATAAAATCTTTAAAAGAAAAAAAAAAAGAAGAAGTGACATGGCATAAAAGCCTTCCCTTGACTAAGATAAAAATCTGGCTGGGTTCACAGGTGTGAAGACAATCACCAGAACTCAGGAACAAGATGAAGTATAAAGTGAGGACACTCAGGTGACTTGAGGTCTGACTCCATGAAAGTCTTCATCAGCAGTGTGTGTTTCAGGATCCCAAGAATCACAATGTATCCTCCATGTGGACATAAGAAAAGTGCATCTCTCTGGAGTCTACCCTTGGTGAGAGCTTAGATGTGAGCAGGAAAAACCTCACCCCTTAGCTCTCCCCTGATCCCAACTATCCCTGATCCCAACTATTTCCTTTAAATGTCCTACGAAGTTTGACTTCGATCTTGATTATGTCCCGTCCCTAAGACCATCCGTGTTAGTGCATGTCCTAAGGGTAAAATAGGCCTGCTTCTTTAGTATGTAAGTTGCTTTGAGGAACGATTTAAAAAAAAAGAAGACTGCATAGTGTCTAAGGAGGATTCAAAACCCTTTCAAATGGAATTCCAATGTGTCTATAAAACGTATCCTTCAAAAAATCTCATTGATCACTTTCCTCTACAACTCATCAATTCTCCACACTTCAAATTGCCAAGCGCAACTCATACCCTCCGTCCTGCTGACTTGCTTGCTTAATCATGCTTGTCCAACCAATGTAAATCTATCATCTATCTATTTGAAGTCACTTCCCATCCAAACTCACCCTTCCACCTAAATGTGGCCTACACACTAAACTTCAGCTGACCCCAATCCCGCCCCTCTCCCCCACATGTCCAATGCCTTATCCTCCTACCTACCATTAGCCCAAACTCACATTTCTCCTTTCCCAAATCACCACACCCTTATTCTTTCCAAATATTTAACCCCAGCTACAGAGATAAATCACTCTCTCCTATGATCAGATCTCATTATCTTAAAATACTCACAGGATCTAACTCTCTCATGTGATATCTCTTCACCTTTAGAGGCATCCTAGGAAGGTGTGGAACTTTCCGCCCCATCTTATCATGAATCCTGCTACTTGTAAATGAATTCCTCTCACACAATCCATCTCTCCTTCCACACAAAGGCTACTTCTACAGGATGCCCAGTTCAATTTGAATTTCTGATAAACAATGAATCATTTTTTAGTATAGGTAGCCCCATGTAAAAAAGCTTAAAAATACATTATTTATCTAAAATTCTAATATAATGCGGCCCCCTGTATTTTTTTTCTTTCTAAATCTGGCAACCCTAGATACCACACACTCTCCTTGGGACCAATATGGCATCTCATTTTCTAGTGTCTCATCTCAGAAAAAGGTCTCAGACTGATAAAATGTGCCTGTCCAGGGTTGCAGGTCAAATTTCTAACCGTTCAACCCTACTCACAATGGTTGTCCCTTACCCTTCATTTCAATCCCCACACCCAGATGCTCTTCAAAACCAAAGCAACCAGATGGGGATCCCTTACCCAAAGTGAATTCCCAGATGGCAAAAAGGGAAAAAGAGGAAAAGTCTGGAAGGATGCTACCAAAATGAGCCATAAGAAGGAGAGTTCAACGGCAAAGACAACAAAATATCAGCCACACATATTCTGAGGAGGAAGTGGGAATTACAGCTTGGGACAGGGGTCAATTCTTTTCACCTCCAAACTCACATGCTATCCCCTCCTCCACCTGCCCATACTCACACACTGTCAAGAGAGGAGGAGCAGAGCTGAGAGAGAACTCAGTGAGGGACAGGTGAGCTCAGGGACAGTTTGCTGGAGGACTCAGAGAAGATGAAGAAGGTAGAGAGAATTGAGGAGTTGGGGTTCTGCGATGAGAGGAGTTCAGTAAGGGTGAGATCAGTCTGAGCCTCTTGGCCTGTTGGCACTTACCTGGAGGTAAGTCTACCTGGAGGCCTGCATTTCTTAGAGTCTTCCTACTACCACAGTATAAGGACTGGGTCAGGAACACCCACCTCATAGGACACCTAGCCTACAATAAATTAACCACTCCCTAGTGGTCACAGGGTCGTGCTTACCCTTTGCACCATGAGAAAGTCAAAGATCACCTTCAAAACAGATGTCCCAGACACTGCTGAATGTCAGCTTGTCAAGGAACATGACAGGTACCCAGTCTAAGGAGATGTACGTCTATTTCAGCACAAGGGTGGTCATGAAGTTGAAGGCCAAGACAGAAACTTGACCTGCTTCCTTGAGTTCTTCTTGGGAGAGACGCATGTTCTGGTAAAGATGGAATGGAGCCACTTACGGCATAGGAGGAGATATGCTCAGGAATATCCCTCTGCCATTTCTCCCTCCAGATTTGAGCTGGCTCCTCCACTTGAGCTCTTTTGAAAGGAGACTTCGGATATGGCCAAATCTCAGGTTGCTTTCCGTCAGATTGCCCAAAGGAAGTTCTGCCCTCCCCATATAATCCACTCACTCCCCATGTACTGGACCCTGCATACTACCAACTTTATTTCTTGTTACTTCCTTAAACTGATTCTCTCTTTGTTTTGTTTTGTTTTAACCTCTTAGCCCTCTTACTCAGTGGATATCACTGTTTCTTCATCCTCCCTTGCTGCAAGGGAATTAATTCTTATTCCGCTGTCCATTTACTTAATTACTTGGGGTTCTATTCCTATGGAAGAAGACAAATACATATATTACATGTCAGGGGTTGGGCATTCTACAAACAAGAGTCATGCTGAAAATAAAAAGAGACCGCTTGATTTAATCCAGTATTTCCTACATTTACTTGACAAAACAATCATTTATATGACCCCCCCCCTTTCCCACCCCCGTCCCCATGTAATACCCATGTTCATCTTCTTCTATGGGAATAGAACTTGCAGGTAGGTGTGGCTATGTGACTAAGGCCTGGCCAATGAGATGCAGGTGGCCTGCAGGCCTGTGGCTTCTGGGAGACTTCCTCTAATAAGAGCTGGCACAAACAAACTCTTTGCCTTTTCTTGAATCCTCCTCCATCTTTCTGTCTGAAACCTGAATATGATAATTAGAAATCTACCCACCAGATAAGGGATGATGGACTATGAACGAGAAGGAACCCGGGCCCCTGAAAACTTTGTGGAACAAAGCCATCACCACAACCACAGACTGCCTGCCTACCTCCTTTTGTAAAGTTTCCTCCGATCCTCCCAAGCAGAAACACCCACTTCCTCCAATGTTCTTACTGCGCTTCACACAGATCTTTCCTCTAATACATCTTATCAAATTAAACTTGTCTCTTATGCACAGGGATTTACTGAATCAAAGCCCATTCTGATTGACAGGCAGTGGATATTGTATTGAGGAAGAACCCAAGCCTAACTTTTTGTTGAGTGGAAAAGAAAGTCACAAGTGATTGGTGTTACCTGCCTTGAGTATGGCAAGGAGACTGGTAATTTGCCCCATAGAGTTGCCACCTCTGAACTCGGCGTATTATCTATTTCATTTTTTAAAAATTTTTTAATTTTTTAGATTTTATTTATTTATTTGACAGAGAGAGAGAGAGAGAGTGAGAGAGGGAACACAAGCAGGGGGAGTGGGAGAGGGAGAAGCAGGAGAGGGAGAAGCAGGCTTCCCGCCGAGCAGGGAGCCCGACGCGGGGCTCGATCCCAGGACCCTGGGATCATGACCTGAGCCGAAGGCAGACGCTTAACAACTGAGCCACCCAGGTGCCCCTCATTTTTTTTTTTTTTAAGATTTTTATTTATTTATTTGACAGAGAGAGAGGGAGAGAGCATACAAGCAGCGGGGAGTGGCAGGCAGAGGGAGAAGCAGACTCCCCGCTGAGCAGGGAGCCTGACATGGGGTTCGATCCCAGGACCCTGGGATCATGACCTGAGCGAAAGGCAGATGCTTAACCTACTGAGCCACCCAGGTGCCCTATTTCTTTTAACTATGATTTCTAAAGGTTGAGGAACCAATCTTTTCTTACTTTCCATTTCCATTGCCCAATTAGATTATAGGGTAGAATGCAAATTGCATGACTTTTAAAGATAAAATGAGACTCCTAATTTAATGCTGCCAGCGAGGGGCAGCAGGGCCACAAAGCCACATGGGCAGAAGCAGCCGGGGCCTCCGGGGCCTGCACACCGGCCACAAACAGGACTCCACGGGCCAGCCAGGGGAAGGTTGGGGGGTGGGGGCTGGGAACAGGAACAAGCAGCTGCAGAGGCAGCAGTCACTGGACCCAGGAGGTGGCCCTGCACAGCTGCTCCCTTCCCCTGGAGACCAGTGGGAGACTTTGCAGGAGGGGTCAGGGTGCCACTGGGCTGCTGAACACCATGGAATACCAGGGCCCGGGGAGCCACGCAGGAGGTGCCCACTGCGGGGTAGGACACTTGGACGTTTGAGCCTTGGCCGACTTGCACCTCTCTGGCTGCAACTGCAGTATCTGAAAGAAGCCACAGAACAGACACTTCCTTGCTCAGGCTTTTGAAGCCTGAAGGGAGCCAAGAGCGTAAGCACCCACACATTCAAAGCACACAGAGCCTAGCACACCTGTCCAGCCAAATGAACAGACCTGTCAGAATCTCTGAAAGTAAGAAAAAAGAGTTTTATTTGAGCCCAACTTAGGCCGGCTGCCAGGAAACACGCTCTTCACAGGGAAGAAAATGTTCTGGAGAAGGAACAGTTTTTACAGGGTCATATACTTTTTTACATCTTGTAAGAGCTCAAAGACTATAGATTGGCACACAGGCAGGAATGAGTTTTACCGCAAAGGAACGCCGGGAGTAGGAGTATCCATCGATACCTCAAGGACAAGCTGGTTTTCCTTTAGGCTACTCATTACAAAGCAGATGTACGCGTATTCGTGGTGCGCCAAACGCTAGGCTTTTGGTTTGAGCAAAGTTTATATATGGTCATGCTACCTCAGAAAGAAATTTAAAACGGCTTCCCCTGTGTATGAGGTCTTCAGAGAGTTTTTCTCTCATCACCTTCTGTACGGGGGTGGCATTCAGAGCCTCTACACGCCCCGCTCACCCTGGAGGCTCTGGAATGGCCCCACACTGCCTGGAGGAGGGCACTGGGTGGAGTGTGGTCGTGGAGGGATTCAACGGCACGAACTGGGAGGCCACAAAGGAGCACAAAGGCATCATCAGGACCATGTCTGAAGAGTGAGCTTCTGCTTCTCCATTCCGGAAGTTGTAATGCTTGGGGACGGCAGCTCTGCTGTCCTCGCGGCGCCTGGGTGGTGCTCGTGAGGGTGGCTGGTGAGTGTGGACCCAGGCAGCCGGTTCCACTGGCCGGTGGCCATCTTGACCTCTGCGGTTTGTCGCAGCTACTCCTTTCTTTAGGCAGCTCTTTGCTCCTCCTCAGCCCAGACTGGGACATAGGCTAGTTGAGATCTGTCTTTCTCTTCCCAACTTTTGTGTGACCTATTAGGAAAATAAATATTTTGAACAGTGAAGCAATTACTGTGGCTTAACAACACAAAGATAAAATGAGACCCTCAAATTGGACACCTGTGACAAGCCATTTTGAGGCACTTGTTCGTTTTCCTCTTGCTTGGGTGTATTTCAGTGAGAAAATCTGAGCTGCTCTAGGAAATCAAGAGATGAAGATGCTATCCTCTTGGAGTTGTTGGACCATCAACTCAGTGATTTTTTAAAATATGCTGTTGGTTGTTATCTTTGGAGTAGATCAAACAGAAAATACTTTTGTGAAACTATAACTCTGCTGAATCAGGGTTTTGGTGAGTGACTAATAGAACAAATTGGACGCCTGATGAATATGGTACCTGTGGCTAGTTGGAATTCCTCCCTCCAAATCCTAAAACGGTTTCTGAACAAGACCCAAGCAATGCAGATGTATTTTCCTTCCTCTGATCTCAGATTCCTTCTCTGGTTAAAGGATCGATTCTCCTTAGTATTTTAGAACCCAGCCTCCCCTATCTCCTGAGTGGCCTCTGATACCCCTTTCCTGAATCTTCATCCTCTCTATTGGCATTTTTCCTTTAGCGACATATTCAAATCTCTTTCACCCTGAACCTGTAGGCCCTACTCCCTCTAGAAGTCCTATGTTCTACAGTAGAGATGGCCTTTCATTCTTCATTTTTATAGCCAAAATTCTGGAAAGAAATGATACAGCTTGTGTCCCGTCCTTCCTTTTCCACCACACTCCACAGAAACTGCCCCTATTAAAGATGAAAAACTCTTGATTCCTAAACTCCCTAGATCTTCTTCAGAGAGGGAGTATAAGATAGTGGTAACAAGCACAGACTCAGAAAGTCAGACTGCCAGGGTTTAAATCCCCATTCTCCCACTTACCAGCAGCATGATCTTGCACAAAACACTTAACTTCCTTGTACTTCATTTCCCTCATCCGTAAAATGGGGTTGTTGTGAGGATTAAACAGCAAAGTGTTCTTGGATGATTTAGTACATATAAGGAGCCTATAACATGCCTAGAACACAGAAATTCCCAACTGATCTCTGTATGACACTGATGTCATCAACCTCTTATTTGAAACTCTCCTCCCTTGTTTGCCCTGACCGATTTTTGTTTGTTCATTTTCCTCATAATTTGCTGGCTGCGCCTTCTTATTCTTTGCCCTTGTCTCCAGGTTTCCTGTTTTGCTTCTATCTATATTTTAAAATAAAATCATCTTTCTAAATAAATACACAATAAAAATAAAAACTCTCTAAAGTATTTTAAGTTTGGAGATAATTCAGCTATCTCATGAATGGCTTCCATTTCCTACAAGGTCCATTAATTGAACTCACATTCAAGTATCTCTTTTTTCCCATCTTCCACTCCAGTCCATCTTCAACTCATTGCATCTATTAAGCTTCACCTCATATTTCATCCCCTCCAGAGTCTTTTCTACACTTTTCTCAAACAAATTCTTTTTTTTTTTTTTTTTAAGATTTTATTTATTTGACAGAGAGAGAGCACAAGTAGGCAGAGAGGGGGCGCCTGGGTGGCTCAGTTGGTTAAACGACTGCCTTCGGCTCAGGTCATGATCCTGGAGTCCCGGGATCGAGTTCCGCATCGGGCTCCCTGCTCAGCAGGGGGTCTGCTTCTCCCTCTGCCCTCTTCCCTCTTGTGCTCTCTGTCTCTCATTCTCTCTCTCTCTCAAATAAATAAATAAAATCTTAAAAAAAAAAAAAGTAGGCAGAGGGGCAGAGGGAGAAGCAAGCTCTCCACTGAGCAGGGAGCCCGATGCGGGGCTCGATCCCAGGACTCTGGGATCATGACCTGAGTCGAAGGCAGCCGCTTAACCGCATGAGCCACCCAGGCACCCCTCTCAAAGAAATTCTTTATTAAGTACTCCTTCTCTATGCTCCCAGACTATAATACGTAACTTCTGCCTCTATGACACCACTTACAGCACCTGCTGTCTCCATGCTCGAGTGTGAGCCATTAGAGGAGTGGGACTGAATCTCACCTGTCTTTAAATTCCTAAAATCCAATATAGAGTCACATGAATTGGTAGTGCTCCAGAAACATTTGTTGAGTGAATGAAATAATAAATAAAATGAGCACTTTGATTGGGCCAATGTCTCTTGAAAGAAAAGGCTGAAGAGTTCACCAAGTATTGAGACCTTCTTACATGCAGTGCAGGGATCAGAACCACTGGTTTTTATTCCAGTCCTTTTCCACAATACACTCAGCACTACTGAGGTGGTCAAACAAGTACAGTGGTTGTAAGCGCAGACTCTGGTATCAGACGTTCATCTTTCCGCTTCACCAGTTACTAAACGTGCGATCTCGGGCAAGTCATTTAATCTCTATGTACACCAGTTCCCTCCTTAGATAAACACAATACATATCAGAACTTTTCTTACAAGGTAATGAAATAACATGGGAGGTGTTTAGAACAGGGTCTGGAACATACCACACATAGAACTTAAAAAGTATTATCTCAGGGGCGTCTGCCTGGATGGCTCAGTCGTTGAGCGTCTGCCTTCGGCTTGGGTCACGGTCCCAGGGTCCTGGGATCGAGCCCCGCATCGGGCTCCCTGCTCGGCAGGAGGCCTGCTTGTCCGTCTCCCACTCCCCCTGTTTGTGTTCCCTCTCTCGCTGAGTCTCTCTCTGTCAAATAAATAAATAAAATATTTAAAAAAATAATAAAAAAATAAAAAACAAAATTCAACCAAGTAAATTTGAAGATCTAATTGACTCCATTAAATGATCCATGAATTGGGCAGCATCTGAGGAAGTATATAAAATGGAATGTTTTATAAGAAGGGTGAGGCAAGGGCGCCTGGGTGGCTCAGTCGTTGAGCGTCTGCCTTCGGCTTGGGTCACGGTCCCAGGGTCCTGGGATCGAGCCCCGCATCGGGCTCCCTGCTCGGCAGGAGGCCTGCTTCTCCCTCTCCCACTCCCCCTGCCTGTGTTCCCTCTCTCGCTGTGTCTCTCGGTCAAATAAATAAATAAAATCTTTAAAAAAAATTATTTCAAATATTAAGACGACTTTGGACATTTTGGCCTTACCTCGCTTTCATTAAAAACAAATACTAACCCACGGGGCGCCTGGGTGGCTCCGTTCGTTAAGAGAGCCACTACTGATTTCCGCTGAGGTCGGGATCCAGGGTCCTTAGGACACCCCCCCGCCCCCCCCCCCCGCGCTGGGCTCCCTCTCAGTGCGAGTCTGCTTGAGATTCTGTCTCCCTCTGCCCCTTCGCCTACTTGCGCGCTAAATAAGTAAATACATCAAAATCTTAAAAAAGATGTGAATCTAAAATCAACTGCAGCTCCGCCCGGAGAGTTCCAGAATTAGAAACATGACTGGTTACCCCTGAGGATGTTCTCACCGCCCCCCATCCCCAGCGCTTCGCTCCCCATCGAAGTCCCTGGCGGCACTACCCAGGCTTCAGTCCTTTATCTCCTCAGCGTTCGGCCTTCCTCTTCGCTGTCTGAGGGCTTTTTAAAAACTTGTTCACAGAACAGCTGAGCAGGGAAAACAGATCACAGACCCTTCACTCCGAAGGGAATCCCACTTCTGCTCCAACCACAGAAGCGATTACTCTTCGCTGACTGCAGCCAGAAACGGGACGGGGACCGTCCTGGGGCCTGAGCAGCCAGCCGCGGCCGCAGCGGCCTGCACCTGCCCAGGGCCGCCGGCACCCCGAGGGAAGCACCTCAGCCGTCTCGCGGGCCGCATCTTCGGTGGCTGCGCGCTTCCGCTGCGCTTCGGGAGCCTCCATTTCTCCCAGATCCTTCGGGGTGTTTTTCTCAAGGTCGGCCTTCGTCTCCGTGACGCCGCTTCTGGCTCGAGTTCTCTTTCAACCGCTTTGAGGAAGCAGCACAGGACTCAGACACTGTAACATACACAACGCTGTCTCTTCTTAGACAAAGCGGCAGCGCAGCGCGCTCCTCAGCCCGGGACCCCGCAGCGCCCCGCACACTCCCCGGCTCCCGGCCCGCTCCGCCCCGAGCCGCCGCGGGCCCCGAGCGCAGGCGCCGCGGGGCCCCGCCCCGTCGCAGCGGCTCGGCCCCCATTGGCCGAGAGGCCGGGGGCGGGCGCCCCAGCCTCCGAAGCAGGGGTGGTCATGTGACTCGCGGGGGCGGGGCTGCGCCGGCCGCTTCCCAGCCTGGCTGAAAGGGCTCGCGTAGCCGGCCTTGTCGGCCCTTCAAGCGCTCGCTGGGTGGCCTGGCCCCAACTCCCCTCCCGAGCCGCGCAAAGGGAGCTGCTCCTGGCTCTCGTCCGCCTCCCAGGTTTGCTTTCCTTCTTCTCCCGAAGGTGGGCCCCGAGGTCCACCGCCGCGAAGCCTGCGGCCGCCGGGAAACCCAAACCCGAGTGTCCGGAGACTAACCGGAAGTGCGGTCCCAGGCGGAGGGGCGGTGCCGGCGGCCGCCCGGGTAAGCGGGCCCGCGGGGCCCGGGAGGGGCGCGGCCGCGGGGCCCGGGGTCGGGGTCGGGGCGCGGCGGGACCAGAACCAACCCCCCCACACGCCCTCCCCGGCCCCCGGCCCCCGGCCCCCGGCCCCCGGCCCGCGCAGGGTCACGGCAGCCCCTGCCGCTCGCCGCCGAGCGGGGTCCGGGACCCCCCTGACGGCGGACCGAGAGGCGGTCAATGAAAAGTTGAAGAAGAGCAGCCTCAGTACGGCCGTTCTTGGAGAGGATAATAGTAAACATTACCAGGCACTTTTCTAAGCGATCTGTATCTCTCATATTGGGGAAAAACCCAAGGACGTTGAATGAAGACCCCCCCCACCCACCCACCACCATCTTTAAGACAGAGATTAGTTATGTTGTACTCAAAGCTGTATACAGAAGATTGTTTAACCATTTCATAACTATGGTTTACAAAACCGCATTATATGTAACATTTACTACATGCACTTACCAACTACGTCTTGGGGTGTATATGGTAGAAGAATGGGTCCTTGACCTTAGAAGTTGAGATAATGCACACAAAAAACAATCAGCAGAAAGAAAAATCTAAACAAGTAAAACAGGACTCAGGGCTTTCCTAAGAAGTTAAAGTTAGTCATTGCCCAGAAGGATTCTTCATGTTTCGGCTAGTGCGGGTTGGGAAGGAAGTGATGGCTCCCAGTGGCAGCTATTTCTTGCAGGAGAAACAGAAAGTAAGCAAATGTGGGAAGAGGTAAGATGTGGATGAAGGATGACGACCAGACTGGGGAGTAAATGGGACTGGTATTTAGATGTCCAGCTCCAGAAAAAGTAAAAATTTCAGAAAAAATTGTAAATTTCAACATTATTGATTTTTCTCTAGGAGAGGGAAGAATTGAGTGTTATGCATACTTATGGACTAGAGACCTTTTGAAGCCAAAAGGAAGACAGTCTTGAGTCTTCATTGTTATGGTGAGTAGCGTACCAGGCTGTTATGTTTCTATATAAATGGATTTTGGAGACCATGGGGTGGGGGAGTACTTGGGGAGGACAAGAAGGATTGGGGAAGATAATATGAAAAAGGGATTGACACTTTCTTAGCTCTTGAGATAGCAGAGTGATAAAACTGGATCCTATTTGAGTGTATTTTCTATTCCTTTCCAACATACATATTCACAATAGGCTTATAATAATTGCTTCTTGATTGATTTGCAGCCCAAAAAAAGGCAGAATGCCCATTGCTTAGGCTCTGTAGTTAGAAAATTGAAGTTTAAATTGTCGCTGTGCTACTTACTAGCTATGAGTTCTTGGGTAATTATTTAATTGCCCTAAGCATCAGGTTTTCTGTTAGTGCAAATATTGGTATTAATACCTATCTTACACAGTTCTTGGGAAGATTAAATGAGGCAGTCCGTGCAATCAGTGAAAGATAAATGAGGTAATCCCTTACCTCGGACTTGATACAGTAAGCATTATCTATTTTTTAGATTAATGCTTTATCGACTTTGCTTGTCCCATACACCCTTTAACTGTAAGAATAATCTTGAGCTTTGAAGTTCTGTACTCAGCTTCTCTGCTTGGACTTTTATTGCATGCCTGCTTATTCTGCACACTCTGACCCTAGCCATGGAAGAGAGAACCAGTCTTTTCCTAGGGTGAGGTAAGAGAAACCTCTTGGAGAAGGGTCCCCTGGTGGACCAGCCAGGGCTACTCGCCGAGCTTGTTGCATTGCTATGGGGGTTCTAAGGATTATGGTGGTCCTTTATTTTGCTGTGGTATTTATTCATATTTTTCATGCATGCAACAAATGTATTCTAGAGTCTAGGGATATTGCAGTGAACAAAAGACTTAAGTCCTAACCCTAATGGAAGTTATATTCTAGTAGGAGAGAGAAACAAATTAACAGATATAAAATATATACTACAAAGTTGGAGGATGAGAAGTGCTATGAAGAGAAATAAAACAGGATAAGAGGACAGAGCTATTTTATATAAAGTAGTCAAGGTGTGCCTCCTTTTGAGGAATTAATTTTCAGGCAGAGACTTGGATCAAATAAAGAAGCAAGCTACCTGGCGGGAAGAACATTCCAGGCAGAAGGAACAAGTGCAAAGGTTCTGAGGTGGCTTGTGAGGCTAAAGATAGGTGGAGGTGCCACATTATAAGGAACAGTGAGAACTGGGTTTTATTCTGAGTCTGATAGGAAACAGTTATAATATCTTGAACTAGGGAAGTGTCATGGTCTACTTTAAGTTTGACAACCAGACTGTATTTTATTTTCTAGGTGCTGACATCTAAAAGACTTAGATAAGAATAAGAAAATGATTTCTTTATTTTTAAATTTTTTTTTTTCTTCTTGGTGCCCCACAATTTACTGGCTCCTTAGGGCAAATATGATACCCTGGGCTGATAACTTTAGGGAATACTCTGATTTCATTTGCCAGGCTATGACCAAGCTCAGAATCCTTTATTTCCACTCTGCTCTCCTTTTGACCTGAGCAATAATACACATTTTAAAAGACAGAGCTTCCATAAACCTACCATTTTATATTAGCTATTTGTCTATATGCCTGCATATCTTTACTTAGTTGTGATTCTGAATTTTTCCTTTTCATCCTAGTATTTCTCCATAAATCTGTTTCTAGTTTTTGTATAATCTCCATATTCATCATTAACTGGCTGAGTTATTTTATTGTTTATGATTTAGTTAATTATTTTATATGGATTTTGAACAAGTCTTTACAACAGAGGATGGACTTGATAAATAGGGTTTTTGTGTGTGTGAAGATGGAATTCAGAAAATAATAGAACCTGTCATTTATTGAGTATCTGTTGAGACACAGGCACTGAGCGCTGAGTCCTTTGGTGGTGACATCTAAGTTCTCGTGGCAGCTCCATGAGGCATGTAAGAGTATCTTAGCTGTTTTATCAAAGGAGAAATTGAAGCTGAAGGAAGTTAAGTAATATACCCAAGTTCTTGCAGCTACAGAGGAGCGTGGGAATTTGAACCAAAATCTGATTCTAGAACTTGAACATTCAGTTTTAATTAGTGTAATGTATCGACTCTTAGCTACCATGTTCTTTAAAAAACAAACTAAAATATCTTTTAATTTTGAAATAATTTTAGACTTATGAAAAGGTTACAAAACAGTACAAAGAATATTCATATGCCCTTTGCCCATGGTCCTAAATGTTAACATTTTACTATATTCGCTTTATGATTCTGTGTGTCTCTGTATACACATACATATACACATTTTTCTCTGAACCTTTTGAGAGTAGGTTATAAACATAATGATTCTTCTCAAACTATGAGAGCATTAAGCCCTAAAAGTCTTATGACATGCTAAGCCCTGAAGTCTTAAGAAAATTAAGCCCTAAAGTCCTAAGGTATGTAATGAATTAACTTCTCTCCTATGCATGTATAGTGCTCCTAGCTACATACCATTCTTGGAAGAACTGAAAAAATAGTTACTCAAATCATTTTCTGTAGGGCTTCATTCTTTCCTAGAACCCCAGTTAAGAATGCCTGCCTTAAAATACAAACAGTTTATTTCCTAAAAACATGGCTCTTCTCTTACCATTATAGCTATCAAAGTCAGGAAATTAACACTCATAATACTATTATCTTATTCAAATTGAGCCAGTTCTTCCACTAGTGTCCTTTTCAGGAAAAGGAAAAAACCGGTTTTTGTCAGCCAAGATCAATCCATCATTCCCCATTTCATTTAAATGTCTTGTCTTCTTTATCGTGAAATATATATCCTCAGACTTTGTCTTTCACAACCTTGACTTTTTTTTTTTTTTTAGGATTGTATTTATTAGAGAGAGGGCCCAAGCGGGGAGGGGCAGAGGGAAAGAGAAGCAGACTCCCCACTGAGCAGGGAGCCCATGTGGGACCACGACCTGAGCCGAAGACAGACACTTAATTGACACTTAATTGACACTAATTGAGCCACCCAGGCTCCCCACTGACTTTTTTTTTTTTAAGAGGTTAGGCCATGTATTTAGTAGAATTTCCCTCAATTTGGGTTTGCCTGATGCTTCCTCATAATTAGGTTCAGGCTATACATTTTCGGCAAGATAGCACAGAGGTGACATTCTGTTCTGTTCTTTACATTCTGTTTGGCACATTGGACATCATGTTACTAATAATGGTAACTTTGATCACTTGGTTAAGGTGGTGACTTCCAGGTTTCTGTACTGTGAAGTTACTCTTCTTGTTTCTGTAATTATTAAATATCTAGTAGGGAGATATTTTCAGATTGTGTAAATATCCTGATCTCATAAACTTTTCACCCACTGGATTTTTACCTGAAACAATTAAACACTCTTCTTTTGATTGGACATGGTGATTTTTAAAATTCCATCATTTCTTCTACATTTAATTGTTGGCTTTTTTTTTTTTTTAAAGATTTTATTTATTTGTTTGACAGAGAGAGACACAGCGAGAGAGGGAACACAAACAGGGGAAGTGGGAGAGGGAGAAGCAGGCTTCCTGCCGAGCAGGGAGCCTGATGTGGGGCCCGATCCCAGGACCCTGGGACCATGACCTGAGCCGAAGGCAGATGCTCAA